AGGCGCGAACTGCTTAGTCTAACATGAAATTGGCTTTCAGAGAAACTGCGGGGGTAAGTATTACATACTTAAGTATCTCAAGCTATATAGTCATACTTTCAACACGAAATTTTCTTGTGCTGTTGAGGTTCCAAGAGATTGAGAATTGCACTGGTGGCAAAATCAAGTTGAAGCCTCATCTGGTCGGGGCATGTGATAGCAACGCCGATGTCTTGCACTTCATTGCTGTCAATCACAATCCAAGAAGCTTGTCACCGATCCTTTCTTCCCAAAAATTCCCAATCAATCTTTTTACGGATCTTTTTACGGATCCCTTTACGGAGCCTTTCTTCTTGAATTCCCATAGGCTGTAGATTTAAAAATATATATATCAGAGCCACACTTCTTTGGAAACTTCTTTAGACTGCTATATTTTGCATTGGGGTTCACAAGTGCCAAGGAACTTTGGCGAATGAAATGAAAAGCCGCCGTGTGGACGACGATACCGGAAAGGTCTTGGTTGAGAACATGCACACAGGCGATTGGGAGGAGATCCCAAAGCACATTGGCGTGTATAGCTTGGGGTTTCCGTGCACCCCATGGAGCATGCAACTCAGGCAGCATTTAAGCCTTTCCATACCATTCCCGAATTGTATGCCAGGTCCAGCTTGTGTTGATAACAGAGACCACATCACACTCCCACTAAAATCAACATTGGCTGAGGAGAGGCCTTGGAAAGGGCTGGGGGGACAAGAACAGTGCGCCATTTTTTGTCGGGATCGAGACGGTGAAGCGGGTGCAGCCTTTAGTATTCACTTTGGAATGTGTTTCTTGGCTGCAACCAGCTGTTTGCAAAAGCAGGTAAGCAGCCCGTTGCTATCTGAAGCTAAGGTGGAGGGTATGACGAACAGATCCTCAACTGCCGATGGCGAGTGCTCTTCTGATGATAGGAACGACTTGGAGAAGGCCATTGACTATATCAAGAAAGAGTTGTCTGAATGGTATGATATTTCCATCTTTCGCAATCAAAGCCCTTTGAACTATGGATATCCAATGCTGCGACCCAGATGGTATGCTTCTAGGCAAACACTATTGTCCAGCCATCAGTCTTGCATTTGTAACCTGGTATAAGTGTCCCAGTATTCTGAGGCTGTGGGCATACTTCGTGCTGAAGGTACACCCGCACACTTTCATGAACTTTGCCAGTCGACCAAAGAGCAATGTCTTGTGCCCCTTACTTCAGACTTCTACAATTTCTTGGGCATCAAGCGACCCGATGTGCCCTGGGGCCGCCTTCATGCCCTGCCCACACATGAAGTACCCGGGTTGCACATGAAGTACATAAGTTGCAATCTTTTGTCAGTTAAATTTTCACAACGCATCGTTTCATTTTTTTAATATCGAACTATCAAGCACATATGCACAATTTTAATATATCACTATGTTACAAAAGCAGCTTTTTCTAGTTTACCAACCATGAAGACAATAGGTCCCCACAAAGAATGTTTGGGGACCTATCGTTGTCATGTTCGATGTTGTGAAGGCATCCCAAAGTTCCCAATCTCCTTAGGAAATGCTACGCCTCCCGCGTTGCAGCTGTGAACTCAACCCCTACGTACTTTGCGATGCTCATCCATGCAGTTGCGGAGTCTTGGATTGACCTAACTAACGTAGACAGTTTCTAACTTGAATCACGCTGGCTGTGTTCATGAATGTTTCATGTCAGAATTGCATGAAGCCGAGGATGCAAGGGAAAACCGACATGCTCGTGGAGGACTTTGCATTCACAGTACTTGAAGACAAACAGTGGCTTAAATGCATCAGCAAAAGATGGGGTCATGAATCCGACTCATCGCCCCAATTTCGGTTCTAAGGTTTCATGAAGAACGTGAACGTGGCAGAAGAGACTGGCAAAATCACACTTGTTGAGCGGCTTGGTGGCATGCTACTGTAGGATCAAGCCAGTCACAAGTTGCTATGACCGACACTTTGACATTGGCCGCCATCATATCCCAGACACATGTTCCACAGTCCGCCCAGATCCCCAAGATAGCCCTACATGGGCCCATCGTTTTTCAATCAGGTTGTATGAATCTGCCGGAATCAAGCAGACCAATTCGGCCCGGGAGAGGAACATGATCAACATACTCTCCTACATCTGTGCCCCGTTGCAGAGCAGCAGATGCATCATGGACAAATCGCAGACCATCATGCAACTCGACTGGAACTAGCCGTCTCCGAGTAGCTGACTGAGGATTTGTTTTGATTTTGTTTTTTTTGCGGCAGCTTATGTAACTATGTGTCAGTCAGCTTTTGTGCAGGGGAGGTTGGTTATGTTTCCGTTTTTTGGGGGACATTCTGAAATTAGATGCAAGAGCTCAAATTGCGACTTACCTAAAGTTAATTGAACTTGTCTCTTGTTAATTAAAGTTTGGGTTACAGCCATTGGCCATTGGCCAAGCTAAAGTCGATTGATGTGATGCTCACTTGTACTTGCTTGTGATCTGATCTAGTGCGCTCAGGCGCTGCCAACTGCGGGAGGACGGAGCTGTGCCGACCCTGGCCACCCGAAGCTGCCTGTATGTCATGTCTTTGGGTCGCGATTTGACCATTCCGGAGGTGGCAACGTTGACTCTTGACTCAAAAAAGTCCAAAGCGGTCATTGCCATTTAGTCTTTTTGGTGATGAAGATCCTGCATGTCGAAAAAAATGTCACTCTGAATTGGAAATGTGTTTCAAGTTCTGGCGTGGTGTTGTGAAAACTATCCCCTTGGTTTGGAACGTATGTCATATTGTGGCTTCATCTTAATCTTAACGAACACGAAATCTGTTTATGGTTTTCCACATCTTGTTTTGATGCTTTGCCTTTTGAAAACAAAATGATAAAACACATATGATAAAATTTATGACATAGTAAAAATTGTTTTGGATTCCGATGTCAGGATGGGGCTCCCGCCATCCGTGAACTTTGGCCAGCAGACCGGGCCGGCCGCCCAAAAAATGATGGGCAATGCCATGCACAGCGCATGCGTTGGTCAAGCTCTTGGCACCGGAGTTCTAGCCAGATGTGGCTTGCTTTTGGAGTGAACCATGTTAGGCCGATATGTTTTGGGCGTCGAACTTCAGCAGCTGTGGTTTCACAGCTGGGGCGTCGCCAATTTTGCTGTCTGACTGCGATTGATGGCTGGGGCCAAAAGAGAAGTTAAAATTTTCTGGTCAGATTCAACTTCCAAAGCTTTCAACTCAGATTCACCCAAAGCCTGCCAGTGGGTTTTGCTTGCAGCTGTTGTGAAATTTTCCATTTTCTCAACATTTTCATGGCTAAACCTAAACCTCAAATTCACACATTCAGCATGGACATGATAATTCAAATCATCATTTGGTTGAAAGTGGGTACAAGTGACATGGGCCGATCCCCCTTATCCTTCTAGTATGACTAACGTGGGTCATCCCCCCATCAACCTTGAATTTGAATGCAAGCGACATGGGCTTGACCCGCGTCACTCGTACCCACGTTCGAGACTGATATGATATGGGGATGGACCCGCGTCACTCGTACCCACGTTCGAGACTTAATATATCCATGGGGATTGACCCACGTCACTCGTACCCACGTTCGAGACTTAATATATCCATGGGGATTGACCCACGTCACTCGTACCCACGTTCGAGACCTATGTGATATGGGGGATTGACCCGCGTCACTCGTACCCACGTTCAAGGAGTGAATGACCCAGCCCCCGTCCATTGATTTTTTATTAATTTCTTTTTGATGTTGACTCTCATGTGCCCCAAAGGTGGAGGACCTCCACCCCCCATGTACAGCCGTACCCAGGTACGGCCGTACAACATCCTATGATGGAGATGACCCCCGTCAGTCAACTGACCCAGAGTAGCATCATAGGATGTTGTACGGCCGAACCTGGGTTCCCCTGGGTTAAGGGGATGGAGGGGCTCCACCTTTGTAGCCCATCAGAGTCAAAGCATTTTGAACACCACAGGCTCCAGGCCCGTCAGTCAGCAGTAGCTTAGCTTGCCAACCATGGCAGATGCCGCTGACCAAGAAGCCCGCCGACTCTTTGGTTTGGCCAGGCGTGCTGCCAAGGACACACCTGTGAGTGTCGACCTTCAGAAGACTTTTCGGGATTCAGTACGTGCTGGTCAGCTCGAGCATGTGATGAACGAAGCCTTCGATTTCACGCAGCAGCAGCTGAATGGGTTTCATGGCTTTGTTTTATTTTAGCATGGGGTCCGTAAATCGTATTTGCATCTCATCAAATTTCACCATTCAGTCTGAGCCACCATTCAATGGACAAACTCAGGAAAAATGCTAAAGGTATGGCATGCCCAACCAGAGCAGCGGCTGATGTCAAGGGCAAACCTGGCAGCATGACCGTGGGTGGATCGTTGGGCTTTCTCAACCGTCTGACCCTCAGCACCGGCACAACCATGCAGTCCAACCTGTTACTATTGCCGATTGAATGCATCATTGCAGCATTGCATTTTTTCCTGGGTGTCTTGGGGAGAAGCATGACATGCGTCTGGAGGTATTGTTGGCACCATCCAGATCAACGCGGATCCGGCTGTTTGGGTGGAGGATGAGTACAAAGGCTTGCTCCGATCTTCTTCTGATGCAGAGCCCTAGCCTTAGCAAACTCCGGCTTATGGTTGTCTTGGGGTCTTGGGGGCTCTTTAGGCTACTATGGCTTTAAGATTCGTCTTCAAAAATTGAAGTGTGCCACTGATTGTTTTGACTGCTTGCGACTAAGGGTGGCAGCTGCGTGCTTGATTTGCTTCTGGTTGAAAGATGATGAGCACATCTTGCACTGGCTCATTGACTCGCTGACGGACGTGGTGCTTTGCCTGTCTGCGCAAGGGGTCGGGGCAGACTACCTTGTGAAGAAGTTCTGCAACTTGTTGGCACTTACATGGAGAAGCTGAAGTCAGATTGTCTTTTTTGTTGCTGAGAGTTGGCATTGACTTTGTTTAGCCAATGATTTTCTCATTGAGGTGCCTACGAGGAAGAGGAAAGGCAGAGGAATGTCATCGGCCTGTCGGCCAGGGCAAAGTGCCTTGTCTTGCTGGAGTTGGTGGAAACTCTTGGGGACAAACCAGAGGATGTTGCTGCAAAGCTCACATCTGAGTGGTCATCGGACACAATCAAACGCTATGTGTCTGTTGCCCGGAAGTTGAAGGGGCAGCCTGATTTGCTGCAAGCAATTGTCCAAGTCGAGTATGAGCTTGGCCGGGAATGTGCCCTTGATGGCATAACTGCCTTGCGCAGCCTCACAGGCCTGAACTTGGATGAGGCCGATGCGGTCTACGTCGTGGCTTGGCTGAAGATCTTTGCATTGATAACATGTAATCAAGTCTGTGAGTGCATGTCCATGATGGCCATGTTGAACCTAAATGATGATAAATTTTGTCGTCGAACCTGCCAAGCTAGGTTTAAAAAAATGAATTGGGCATTTTTTGCTGATGATCACATCTTGATGCGCAGGTGAAGGTCCTGACGTATGAGCAGCGCTGTGGGTTTCGACGAAAGGGCTCCATAGTTCCTCTGAGACACTGCAAGGGGAACTTTGACATCCCCATTCGCTTGAAATCTTTGCTGATCCGGCGCGACGTGTACAAGCACTTGGCTGGGCTTTTCAAACAGTTCGAGGCCGACATCATGGCCTACATGGACCCTGATTGGTATCAGGCTTTCATTGGAAGTGAGCAAGAAGTTGAAGGAGCTGTAGGTGAACCAGATGACAATGACGACAACTGCAAAATGGAAGTCTCGGCCTACACATCCAAGATCCCTTTGATGAAGTTCTGTACGAAGCTGGCCAAGGGCCACTACGAGTTGTCGCTTTGCAAGGTGTCGATACTTGCCTGAGTCTGATTCTAAAAGTTCAGTTGCTGAGTTTGATCTTACAAGATGTTGTGACATGTTCTTGCATTTGCTTGTGGCTTGCACTGATTTTGATACAGTTTTGATTCGGAATTGACTTTGACCATGGTTTTGTTGGTCCTGTTTTGGATGTTTTGGTGTCATCAGGAAAGAGTCCGTGCCGGGCAAGTCCTTGAATTTGACAAAGGACGACTCATTGCAGAAGCAGGTCGAGTCATGCCGCGAGAAGTATGTGAAACTTGTACTAATTTTGATCGAATTACAAACTCGGTACAGGTCAGATTCACATTTCAAAGTCATATAGTAGCATCACATTCAATACCAAAATTTGAACTTACGTTTTGCTGAGCTTAACTTAACCCAGTGCAAGCTGCAGTCACACCATGTCTTTACTGAGGACAGACTTCCCACCTACGCTTGCAGCAGCTGCCAACACACCGACTGTGCGGCACGAATTCCTGGAGGTCACGACAACGAATGAGATCGTGAATGAACCTGATTACCTTGAGGAGTTGTCCAAATACAACATGATGGCGACAAGTCACGAGACCCGAACCATCCAGGAGCAACTTAACTTGAAATTAATCTGAGTTTGATTCCTTTTTTTTTGTTTTCATCTGCTCTTCATTGCCTGTTTTTAATAGATCTGAGTTTCAATCTTTTAAGCCTGATTTCGTGTCTCGCGGTCGCTCCAGGTACATTGATGCAAGAGTTGAATGGCTGGTCTGGACCAGCGACACTGAGCAGAAGCTGGAAAGACTGCCACTTTTGAAGGAAACTGGATCACCCAAGGTCGTTCTCTATGAGACTCAAAACGACGGGTTGCTCGACTATGACGAGGTGAAGAAAAGACGAGTCAACATCTTTACAGGTGTTGGCGTGGGTGCCTCCGCACAGAGGATGACAGAGGTCTTGGACATGTTTGCCATGGTCCAATCCACCAGCAGCCCTGAGATGCGTGACAAGTCGTGCTTGGCTGTCATGGTGAAAGTCGACAGCCTAAAGAGCAAGTCAGCTTTGGATGTTGTGCGAGCAAAGCTACCCCGAAAGACATCGACAGCTGTCATCACGCTCGACCCTGAACAGACAGACCTCTTAGCACGCATCAGACGCGGAAAGAGGGCTTTTGGAACCTTTGGCTGAATTAGTTGGTCGTGATGTTGTCATCAATCAATCCATCCAATCAATCCATCAATCGGTGGGCCAATCAATCAATCAATCAATCCAATCAATCAATCAATCAACCAATCAATCAATCAACCAGTCAGTCAGTCAATTAATCAATCAATCAAACCAATCAATGTTTTCAAGGTGTTGTCATCAGCCGTCATGACTCCGCATGCCTTGCCTTGGTTGCCAATGACAGTGGCTTTCCATCCAAGGAGCGCATGTGGAGGACCGATTGGTCTTGGCAAGCCCGAAAGGGTTTTCAACAGCAGCCAGCACAATGAAGTTTCTGAAGGCCACGGACACCTTCTTCAACAGATGGCCAGTCCCTTTGGTAGCCATCGGCAGCCTTAAGGTATGCAAATTGACAGACTATGAAATGATGTTTGCTGGGGACACCGCAACCGACAGACTTGTTGAGGACCGCCATGCTATTGAATGTGTATTTTAAAATATTTCTTATTGTCACAGTGTTGGCTGATTGTGGGCTATCATTTCATCTTTGGGGGGGCCACCGCAACGATTGACACAGTTGGCGTATGTTTTGGGTGCTTGAATGTGATTGATTTTTTCGGCAACCAGTTGAGATTAAAATTGCGTCCCTCTCATCTGTCTGCAGGAAATTGGGCAGGAAGGGGAGGCGCTTGCATCCATCAAAGACGATGAATGCGTACCATTTCCTCATGAAGCGCACCAAGTTTTGTCCCAAGAGCTGCTGCACATTTTTGGTGCCAACGTCTTGGTGGCGATTGGCGTTGGGTCTGGGCTTTCCATTCTTGGCGGCCTTCTTGCTGGAGCTCGGGTGGTGGCAGTGTGTGCCTCAAAGAGTCACCAGAAATTTGTGATGGCCAACCTGGCAACATGGCTCAAGGAGAAGCGGGTGGTGCCTGGAACCGCTTTGGCAAAGCCCCAGCAATTGGTGCAGTATGAAGCAAAGCGTGGACGAGCCATCACGCCCAGGCCGCAAACTCCTGCGCCAGTTCCCAAGTCCAGCCCACCGACGCCCCAGCCCAATGCGAGCCCTGGCGCTGCAACTACTCCGCCAGTGAGCAATGGCGGTACCCCCACTCACAGCAATGGCTCCGGCTCCAACGGCGGTGCTGCCAATGGAGGCCCAGGGCGCAACTTGCTGGCATCTTTCGGAAATGTGGCCATGTGAAGCCACTTTTGATCTTTTGAGATTTAGCTTGAAAAGCTTTGTGGGAAACGTGTCAATGAATCATTGATGCGGCTTTGGGAAAAAGCGCATTATCGCGCTTTGGTTTTGGCTCTTGGGATTTTGTCCCTTTGTGTGATGCGTGATCCATCAGGCAGCCGGGCGCAAAAGATTAATAGCTGATTCTGACACTTCTTGTGAACCAGTTGATTTGATTTTGAATCTGACTGTGAATTTGATTTGATTTTGATGTCTACACTTTTCAGAGTCATGCGTGATATTGGAATTTGACATGTCCAGTTGACTTGCTGACTTTGAGTTTGAATCTGGAATTGAGCCAGTTCACAATGGGATCACTTTGAATTTGTCTAAACATTGGGATACTGATTGTACATTGAACCAATTCAAGTCACATTCACATTGACTCAGTCTCACTCGCTGCCATTGATAATTAAGTTGAGCATCAGCCTATATCGTTGGCAGCTGGCATTTGGCAATGGCGTTGGATCTCCTCACGGAACCTGAGAGAAAGCTGATCGAAAGTGAGGTGACTTGGTTTTATGATATTATGTTTTATGTATGTGTGGACCCTGAGCATTTCCCATCGACATCCAGCACCTCTAGTGCCTAACAGCAATTCTCCAAGGTGAAGAAAATCCTTGAAAATGAGGGCAATGCCAACATCACCATGACCGCTCTGATGAAACTCGCGTCCAAGAAGACCAAGATTGATTGCGTGTCTTGTCCAAAAAAAAGGTATCCGGTTGTCTTAGTATGGGTTGACAACTTGATACGTTCACAAGTTGGTACATCAGTGTCAGTGATAACTTGTCAGCAGCGATTGTGTCACCAAACTGTGCCAGTTTTCATTCCCCAGGAGAATGGACCCGGCTATGTTGTGGTGCACAAGGTTGTGATGAAACACCAGAGTCAGGCATCAAAGCCCTGTACAGATCGGCAAAAGGTCTTGGTGCCGATGTTTAGAAAGTGACCTGATTTGGGGCAAAAGCAGATCGCTGACACACGCTATGTCATCTCACTTGCCTGTGACTTGTTTTCTGCTTCTGACTTTCTTTTTTTTTTATCTTCCTTAGACTTTTTCTTTCGCGTTTTGAGATCTCGTTTGGACACAATGCCTGAGGTCAATTGCATCTTGCTGTCCGGAGGACCGATTCGGCACTGGGTGTGTCTGAGGGTTCGCACTGTCAAGTTGTCATCGCTTTATTTGGCTTTCAAATAGCGAGATGTCATTCATATTCGTTTGTCAAACTCTGTATGAGTGTAAGATTTAAAGCAAGAATTGAGGTGTCAGGTCAAACTCGGTCAAACTCACTTATGTTCAAAATGTTAATTTCTTAGATGTCCGTCAAGAACCCCTTCAAATTCAAATCATTCAACATGCTCAATCTGTGGCTCGTCAGCTGGGGGGGGCAGGTGGAGCCAAGCAGATATGACATGACCATGACATGGCCAGTCAAAGTTAAAGCAGATCGAAGCCCAGAGAAGTTCCAATGTTAAAGCAGCAGATCGAAGCGCACGATTTAGATTTCGCTTTGCGCAAACTTTGGGTGCCATGTGGCGTCCTTTTTTTGACACAGATCACTTGCAGACGTTTGCATCAGAGATTGCAGACCATCCCCAAGGTGCTGGGAGAGGTGGCATATTTTGCCCGGGGGAGCTTGTAACGAAGGCCCGTACTGAATACGACTATGTGGTCAAAGATGGAAAAACAACTGGAAATTGCTGTGTGCAATCTTTCATCGACAGCGCCATTCAGCAAAACATCCGGCCGACCTGGAAACGGATGAATGAAAACAAACGCTGCCAAGAAGCCAGAAAGCTGGCGTGCGATTGGGCCCTACAAAACAGAACACTGACATTCTGGGGCGGTGCCAGCTTCCAAGAAGTTGCAGAGCTAGTGTCCCATCAGAACTTTGATCGGTGGATTGGCCGTTTGAGGTTGACAGATGCATGGGGCGATGTGGCATTCTTGCAGGCTTTGGTCTGCAGTGTGGGCACCGATGTGCTGCTCATCGACAATGGGTCAGAGCCTGCCAAGCTCCTCGGTCTTTCCTTGATGACCGGTGACCATGACAGCAAATGTTTGGTCCCCGTAGCCATGCACAAGCACAACCACTTTTGGGCTTTAGTCCCGTTGGAGTCTTGTCACATGGAGCAAGTGGCCCTCAGTGTGACACCTGGACATCAAACACTGGACTTGGACGAGGACTATGACACCGTGGAGCCAAAAGAGTTGGTGCTTGGTGGGCGAGAGCAGGAACTGCAATTGTGCGAATCCCTCCTGAACTGGTGTCCTTTTGAACTGCCAACTCAACATCTCATTGAGTGTCTTCAGCTTCTTGGATTTGCCCAGGGTTGAATTTGAAACCAAGTTTGGATGTTAGTTTAAAACTGAATTGTCAGTTGAAAATGAACATTGAATTTGAATCACTCATTGAATGAGCGAGTGAGTGTGAGTCTGTGATCTTGAGGAACTCGGCGGGAGCCAGAGATGACAACGTGCCTATTGGTGTCTTGGCCAGGTCAAGGAGATTTGCAATATTGCAATTATCTCGCGAAGATGATGCTGAGCAGGAGCCAGTTTCCCAACCACATTTTGAATTGAACTGTAGCTGTGAACAGTGATTTTGGAATAAGTTTGACACGGTATACACCCCCGTTCGAATTCCCCTTACAGAATGGAAGGGGTCGACCCCACTATAAATGGTTTATATATAGGCATTTTGTAGTTACAATGATCCCCCTAACCAGGGCATTTTGTAACAGGGCACCCACAAGGCAAAGTTGTAGATGTTCAAGTGTTCATTTTGTAAGAGTTTTCAGGTGCCAAGTCATTTTATAAGACCATCGAGTTTATCGTTTTGAGGCTTTTCGTGAGCTCAAGATGTTGTTATTGAACATCAAAAAACAAAAAAGAACTCAGTGCATTGACATTCTGTAAGGAGATGTCGTCAAGAGTAGAAGATAATAGTAATTTTCCTTTTGGTTTGGGATTTTTACTGGCGACTTTTTTCCTTGTTTTTGGGACCCTTTTTGGGCGCAAAAAGTCGCCCTTCTTAACCCCTTTCGCGTAGCCAAACCACCGGGAAAATTACCAGTAGAAGAACCTTTTTGAAGAATATATGATTTTTAGGCATTGATACAAAGTATGGCACAGTTCAAGTTTTAGGGCAGCCATGGCACCAATTTTGAGTTAAATTTGGATTTGGTGGAGGCACCAACTTTCTTCTTGGTGTTGTGTTGGCCAAGGATGGCCAAGGATCTTTTGCAAGTTGTAAGTGTGACGACGTTCACGGCTATCTTATGTTCATTTTGTACATGTTCTTTCGTGTTCAATTTTTACTTTAAAAAAAAACAACTCATGTGATAACACAAACGCGAGACATCATGAGAGGAGTTCTGGTAGGCAATGAGGCCAAAGAAGCAAAAATACAAAAATATAAAACAACTTAATAAAAGGTTGCAAAAAATGGAATCCTTACAAAAGGCTGCTTGAAAATCAACGAGTCCGGGAAAACCAGAAACAGGGAACCAGAAGTTGTTTCCTTACAAAATGATGCCCGAAAACGCTATCTAAAATCACAACTTCTTATTAAAAAATATATATAAAAAGGTCATCGAGTAGGATGCCTTTCATATCATGAAGAAAGTCGTCGCCTTATAAAATGATAGAGGTCGAATGTGGGTGCTAAAAACCTATGCTTTTTGTAAGGGCCAAAATTCCCAAAAAACAATTCTTTTTATATGGAAGTCCCCTGGAATTATCTTACAAGAAGCCAGGTGCGACGTCTCCCCCCTAATTCGATCGGGTATCGTTATACGGCAGGACACACCAGCCCAAAAACGATATGTCAGAGCAGATCGCGCGCTGAATGCCATTGCGACACTGTCTCTTCAAAAGGTTCATGTGCGAAATGATGACTCAATGTCTAGGATGCTTTCATCCAAAGCGATTTTGCGCATTGAAAGATTTTTGAGCACCAGTGGCATTGAAACTTGGCTTCAAATTCAAACTCAAAGTTTCTTTATACTCAAGTTGAACAGTCAAAACTCAAACTCAAAGTTTCTTTATACTCAAGTTGAACAGTCAAATTCAGATCAAGGTGGATGGATAATTTTTCTCCGTGTGCTCAGGAAAAGGACCTTGCGGGAGTATGCTCTACTGGGCGTGAAGCCCATGCATGTTTGGATGTCTTCCAGCACCAGCCTGCAATTGTAAAGCAGCTTGGCTTGCAACCGTTTTGACATTGAATTGGATGAATTAGATGTCATGCCTGCACTGGTTTCATCATGTGTCATCAATGTCGAGGAATTGGCGCATGCTTTGGTGCAGCCTGCCCCGCGACAAGCGGTTGCAGGTGTTGCTGGACATGATGAAGGAGAGCAATGGAGAGTTCAAGTTTGCTGGGATCAGGGTTTGCAGCCGAGCATTTCAGAAACTGACAAGGGTTTCTGCTGGCACTTTACAGAACGTGCGGAACAAGATCAACCAGGGTGTGATGAACATCTGGCGAAGGGATAGCATGACCTGGCTTTCTATCAGGAACACCCCAAAAGCCCTTCGATACTTGGACTGCAGAAGCTGGCTGGAAACCTATGCCGAAACCCACGGTGAGCGATCACCCATGAGTCTTCAAATTTTTCTTCCTGCTGGCAGAAAATTCTTTTACCACTCGCAGTACGAGTTTGAGAGGAACCTCGGCCTTTTATGATTGAATCCAGTTTCAATGAGTTTTGAAACGTGAGGCCCTGATTTGATATCAATTTCCAGCCTGGGACAGCACATCAGGTCTGGCCAAGATTTGGGGCACTTGGAGGGCAAGCCTGCAGATCTATCGACATTCCGCAAGGCATGGACCAATGAACTGCCATGGGTTCGCATCGCCAAATCCGATTCTTGCCTTTAATTAGGATTCACAGTCTTATCTCACACGATGTGACATTCTGAAAAAAGTTTATAGTGTGCGATGCGTGGAAGGAATCAATGTTCACAGCGTGCTCTGCTTGCACCTTCCTCAAGAACTTGTTGGACCAGACCCCGAGAAGCGACACTGAGATTGTGATGGCCATTCGGAAGCGCCTAGGACAGGTCCTCTAAGTAATTGAACATGTCAAGAGCCAACAGCAGTGTTCTCAACAACATTCAGTGTGATTGTGACAAGTGGGTTGCAGATACCAAAGATTCAGTGATTGTCAATGACACTGCGCAGGAAAGCATTACGCATTCCAGGCAGCGCAGAGACTGTCCATCGCGCGGTATCAAGAAATGTGCAGAAGAAGCGGTGAGGATTGGTGACCGGCTCAGGATACGCATGGTTCATGTTTAAACCGTGCTGCATCTGGTGAATTTGATTTCGAAATGTTTTGTCAAAGTGATGATTTGGGCCGTGCAGGTATTTGTCCATTGACAAATGTGACCAGAACAAGACCATTCTGCCCAGTGTCCACGACATGTTCCCCAGAGCAATTGCATTGTTTGTTTGCTTTATGTAGATTTGAATTTGAGTTTTAGCAAAAGAGCGTTATAGTTTGAATTTGAGTTTCAGCAAAAACACCGCCAAGGCTGGCCACCCAGTTGTTCAAACAGGGGGAGCGCTTTGTTGTTGGCGTGGTGGGTGTGCATTATGCGGGCCCAAAGCGTATCTTGGATAAGTTTTTTCAATTGAACATTTGAACCATTGTCATGTGTCAAGAGGCAGAAGAGTTGACACTTTGACCCTGTCTTCTTTTTCCCGAGGGGAGGATGAGTTCTGCCTGACTACCACTTTCGAAGACCACCCACATGGGGCCAACATGCAATCAACCATCTTGACACGCCAACTACATCGAACTGCTTGCAAAGAAGGAAAGCTACCATCGACATTGTTCATTGGGGCGGACAACACGCCAAAGGAAACAAAGAACTCAACAAACGTCAGTTGGGGAATCTGGCTGCTTGCTTCATTGAGGGGCACGGCTCTTCGGGAAATCCAGTGGCAGTATCCCCTAGTGGGACACACCCACGGTGGGCTCGACCGGTTTTTTTCACGGCTCATTTGCAGCTTGCGAGGCCGCTCCTACTACACCCTCAGCGAGATGAAGGACGTTTCCAAGCAGTCCTTAAAAGCATTCAGTATGAACTGGAGTCACCACGGATCCTGCTATGATTTTACGGTTCTCAGGCAAATCTACGGCATCGAGTTTCATCGGTACCGAAACATTCACGCCCTCAGCCTCTATGTCGACAACATGGGCATGTGGGTGAAGTGGAAGCAGTATGTATCAGATGAAAGTTGGTCCACACCCCGCTTGTTGGTTGACCACGACCGCATCGCTATGTTTGCATTGGCAAAGCCCCCGCTGGTGGAACACAAATTTGGGGAGGCGGCTGCAGCGAAACATTTGAACTTCTTGGACAAGCTTGAAGCTCGGAAGTTGTCAGATAATTTTATGGGTGGCCTCACTGCACTTGATGGTTTTATGGAATGTGGCTGCCAAACATGACTCAAGGAAAGCGCTTTGGCTGCATCGGGCCAACGCCCACGCCAACAGCTTTCTGAGCTTCGAGCCTATTTGGAAGGCATGGATCCTGGGCCATCTTTGGAAACTTGTCCTGAAATTCTTTTTGGCAGGATCATCAAGCTGTTTTGAATGTGAATCTTGAATTTGATGAAAACTTGAGTTTGAATTTGATGGGCTAAGGACACCATGATTTCTGACATGAGGAGCGCCCACTTGGGGCCAACCCAGCTTGTGATCCGTGAGCCCCAACCCATTGATGTTCCAGAGGATGTCTATTATCAAATTTCAATGGGTGCAGATATTGGGCACCTACCTCAAGACAGTCTTGTCACTGTCACCGGCGCGCCGGAGTCCCGGGTACCCGCTCAAAAGGCCTATGTCAGTCCTGGAGATTTTGTTGTGGTGGCGGGAAAGGATGACAAGATTTTGCCCATCGTTCTTGGGGTGCTTGTGGAGCTCATTCAGCACAATGGCGATGACCATGGACTGCCTCTTGGCTCCCGTGATCTACAATTTTTTCATGTTGTTACCCTTTGGTGTTTCACCTTAAACATATCCTGAACGTGAAGCGCAGCTAAGGTTTGCATGGTACCACCCATTGCGAACACCAGAAGCAAATTTCAAGGCCGGTCGTAAGAAGAAGATTTTGGACATCTTCGGCGGTTGGGTCCCCTCTGGCGAGATTTCATTGTGTGAAACTCAAGTTCTTCCTTCGGTTATGCAGCCCGCTTCGAAGATTTTGGCTTGGGATTTTCAGCCAGAGCAAGAGGAAGACAGTGACGCGGCCAGTTTGCTGATCCCTTTCAGTGTCTACGATCACCTGATGGATGTGCACAAGATAGATGTCACTGGCCTCAACCTCTCATCCACAAAAAGGGGGAACTTGTACAGAATGCACCGGTTGATGGCGCCCATTGGATGATTTGCGGCTAAAGGGTTGGGAAAAGCATCGCTTTTTCGTTTATCGCTGACACGCTAAGGCTCTCATGAGGTGACTTAGCTTTCATGAGGTGACTTAGCTTTCATGAGGTGGTTTAGCGGTGTTTCGCAATTGTGCAAATCGATAAGTCAGATTCACGGGCCAGTGTTTTTCACATTCTGTCACATGCATTCAACATGACCTGAGTTCATGCGCGGCATGCTGTCACTGATTTGCTCTCGCTTTGCTGCTCCAGCTGTGCCAGTGAGTTCGTGACAAATCGTGACGTGCTGAAACCATGGCCGACCCTTTTGAAGAAGCAGAAAAGTTCATGCAGCAGCTCTTGCTGATGCAGCTGGACCAGATGGACGGCTTGCGCAAAATGGAAACGCGCTGGGCTTAAGTCTGGTTTTTAGTCTGAGGTTTTGTGCCTGTGACTGTCACTCCTTTACTTGACATTTCTGATTTGGGATTCCTTGTTGAGGCTGGAAGCGCTGGTGGTCGCCTTTTCCAAGCGAGATGCTTTGATAGATGTTGGAGAGCCTCTTGGCTACACCCATAGTCAAGAATTTTGGAAGATGTCACCCGTTCTTTGGGCACGTGTGCTTTTCTAAAGTTCCTGCAGCTGAGTTCCACCAGTGGCAAGATGATTCCCTTGGCCAACATCCAGCATTACGCCACCCTACAGCGGCTCAGCTTAAGTATTTTACAAGTGTGAAGTTCAACTGTGCCCGGTTGTATCACATGCAGGCATTGCTGGGCAGAAACCCAAAAGCATGTCCAGAAGAAAGTCGACACTGTGAAGTGCATCTGCGACAATGACATTGATGCGTTGGACATGCTCAACAAATTGAATGCCAAGGCCGGGGGGGCTAAAGTCACTGAAAGTGAATGGCTTGAATCAATGACATGGAACTTTGGACTTTGGGCGACTTTGGACAGGACGTTGAGTACCTCTCCACTGCGCCCATCAGTGGCAAAATGCATCGCATCAGCCCGTGGTTTGACAATGGTCCTTTGTTTGCGCTGAGCCCCTTGTCGGCACTACTTGTTGATGGGAAAGTTTTTGTGGCCACGTTCGCCCGGAAATGTTTGTAAGGTGGCACGGGGGACATCATTTTCAATCAGCTTGGCTTCTACGTTTTGGATCTTGAGGGCCCTGACAGCGTTGATGAGAACCCTCTGATGATGGAAACCATGGAAGAACTGATTTTTGGCCACCAATCTTGATGATTGAAGTTGACCGAAATGTGTGCGATATCGTGTGAAATCTGATATCTGCCAACCGGCTGCAGATCTGTGGGCCAAGAAGCAAAAAAGAAGCCAGTGCCAATGCTGTTCACGTCTGCTTGCCTACTTGTTACAGATTGCACTAGCACACAGTACTCAGTGGACGTTGCATGATTTTAAGATTTCTTTTTCTTTACCAATTTTTGTGCCGCCAGGACTTGCCTTGCCTCTCTATGACCTGACCTTCACGAGGGGGGTGGGTAACGGGTGTCAGTATACTAGGTGGCCTTCAGACCAACTCCAAAACATAAATTACTTTACTTCGTGTGATCCCCACCATGACATTCATCCATTTTGTTACTTGCAAATCTTCTGGCATTCTATCTGACATATCTCCTGGCATTCTATCTGGCATTCTATCTGGCATTCTATCTGGCTACAACATAATATTATGTTCAGTTATAATGCAGGCATGGTTTGATGATGTTGTTTAGAAAATATTCAAAAACAGTCCTTAGATTAATAACTCCAGGATAATATTTGCAGCCGACGTAAGATTATAATTTTCCCAAGTTTTCAGGGTCAAAAAAAAATCAGAGTCATTTTTAATAGCCCCTTTGATATAATTCAATCATAATTGAAAAACATGTTGTTTTTGGGTCACTTAAGTACCAACATTTGAGCATTATGAACCGTCAAATGGGGAAATTGTGGGGGTATAAAGCAACAACAATGGCGATTTACCTTGATTTAACCATAATGATTTAACCACAATAAAATGTTACACGCAAAAATGGTCACTGGAAAGAGATTGAACCAAGTAGCAAACGAATGGGGAATAGAACCAAACATAAAGGTTAGAGAATGCCCAACGGTACCTGTGTATCCAATTTTTTGGTGATGTTTTTCCGCAGATTCTGGGGGGTAGTATCTAAGGGCATCGAAGTATCGACGATGCTGGCAGAGATTGTGGATCGCATGGCCACGGACCTGACAATGGAGATGGCCCCATTGACGCCTCCAAAAGCTGGAGATTTCCAGGTGTGTCACTTTTCGGGTGACTTTATTGTGGGTAAAACAATGGTTCAATAAACCACCCATGACTGGAAAGGATTTATACCGCCAAAATGGTGATGACTGGGGATATGGGATGGCTTATGACACTGTTTTACCCACATGATTGCCAATGGTGTGCTTCCGTTGCCATGGCATCCATGATCGCAGGCATCTCTCTGAACAACACTTTGCTAGGTGAAGCCATCTCCAAAAACACTCCCAGGACATTGCTCATGAAATCAGAGCGATTCACAACTCATTGAGTTCATGAAGTTTCACATGTTGGGATGATTCCCCATCCCATAAACATTCATTAAAACCATCATCATTAGAGTAGTTTTTTCTGAAATTTATGGTACCTCCAATGGAGCCATGGAAGCTATGGATCATCTGAAAAAATGGAGCCAAAGCCAGGCAGAACGCGTCCCGTTCTTCCCATCACGACACGACCTCGGTGTTGAAGAGGATGCCGGCATTTTGCAGGGTCTGTCGCTCACCTCAGAGGATGGTCTGTGGATCTGGCTGCGATCTGGCTGAAGAGAAATCTAGGGATTTTGAGCATTATCGAAGGAAGTTTCGAAATCAAACTTCCGACAATATGGGCAGATGAAAAGCAGAGATGGGAAGAGGCAGAGAGAATCAGAGAAGAGAACGAGTCAGAAGAAAGAAGATGCAGAGGAGCCAAAAGGTAGTGTTTTCCAATGCCTTGTGGCTCCGGAGGGTCGACAAGTAAGCTCGCTACAGCGGCGGGCGCGGAGCCAGCTGCCCAGATGAGAAATACAAAATTGACGCCGTTGTGGCGTGACGTCCATTTCGAAGTCAACATGCACAAAAACCAACATGTTCGGACCGCCTTTAGCAGTTGAGATGGAGAGATAGAGCAACATGTACAAAACACACCATGTTCGGACCGTTTTTAGAAGTTGAGGTAAAGAGATACAGCGATAACAAGATAGAAAGGGAGAGCGAGAGAGATAGATAGATATAGAGAGAGATCAGATAGATAGGATAGATCATGAGATAAGCAAGATAGATAGAGAGAGATAGATAGATAGAGATAGATAGATTAGATAGATAGATAGATAGAGGTTTAGATACCCATCATGTAGCTTCGAAGCCCTTAAACGAAGCTTTTCTGCGAGACATAGCGAAATGGAAAATCTTCGAAGCATAATATGAAGCTATGTAAATCAATGGGTAATTCATCCATATTCGAAGCTCTAAAACGAAGCTTTTCTGCGAGACTTCCTTCAAAAATGAAGCTTCGAAGGTCTAAAACGACGCTTTTCTGCGAGACTTCCTTCAAAAATGATGCTTCGAAGCTCTACAACGAAGCTTTTCTGCGAGACTTCCTTCAAAAATGAAGCTGCGAAACTCAAAAACGAAGCTTTTCTGCGAGACTTCCTCCAAAAATGAAGCTTCGAAGCTCTAAAACGAAGCTTTTCTGCGAGACTTCCTTCAAAAATGAAGCTTCGAAGGTCTAAAGCGACGCTTTTCTGCGAGACTTCCTTCAAAAATGATGCTTCGAAGCTCTACAACGAAGCTTTCCTGCGAGACTTCCTTCAAAAGTGAAGCTGCGAAACTCAAAAACGAAGCTTTTCTGCGAGACTTCCTTCAAAAATGAAGCTACGAAACTCAAAAACGAAGCTTTTCTGCGAGACTTCCTCCAAAAATCATGCTTCGGGCACGAATAGGGTCACAGGCGACCACAAAGGGGCCGCACCATTTTCGTGTGGCATTTGTGGGACTTCGAGCACACCTGGTCACTTGTGACCCTATCTTTTTTACTTCAAAACGTAGAAACAGTGATTAGGGTCACAAGCGACCAATGTCCCTTACCAGAGGGTAACTCCAAAAAAACCGCGGGGGGTCCTGTAAATTTTCCCACCAAAAACCAGAGAAATCCCCATCAAATCACAGCAGTTCACACAAAAAAGACATGGCCGTGAAGTTGGGCCTGATTAGATCCTGCACACCTCAGACGCATCCACAGCATATAGATATAATACATATCATCCCTTCACGTCCCCCCTAATAATAAACAATACAAGTAGTTTTTAGCATTAGGGTGGTATTTATTATTGGGGAACCAAATCGAAGTCATGTTATTCATGCATTATAATGGAGGAAGGGATTAAAATGAATTAAATTTCTTTATATAACGCAATTAAAATATTGCCAAACATGGGATTTCGAAGCTTCCCCCCTAATACTAAATTAAAACCCTTAATAATAAAAACTATTTTTTCCGATCTCAAAATCACTTAAATTTCTTTATATAACGCAATTAAAATATTGCAAAACATGGGATTTCGAAGCTTCCCCCTAATACTAAACACCCCGGGGTTGACTAGTT